GCTCAGAGGAAATGAACTTAAATTCGCTTTGTGAGGTATGTATAGTCTGTTAAATGGGAGCAAAACTGCACACATCTTATAAAGTTATATTAAGGATTCTATCAATTAATGCACAGAAAACATTTACAGCATCACCTGCCATATGGAAGTGCTGTTTACTATAAGAATTTCTGACACACTGGAACCTAACCATTTCTGATATTTATGGAAGGTTTTTTTTGCATTAATATTGGTTTGAAATTGAAGCAGCTGTCAGTCCTTCTAATATCAGTTCCTGCCCAGAACCACAAGACTGCTAACATGCTCAAAATCAGGGCTTCTTATTCTAAGAGTTCTTAATAACTTCATATATAAATTCATCCAATCCACCCACCTATCCATTCTGCATACATTTATTTGCGCATTATGAAATGTGTTTGGTACCACAAATAAAAGAATGAAAAGTGGTTCTATTAGAAAGCTCTGGTACTTCCAGGGTTACAAATATACCGTGCATAACTTGTATAGTGGCTCAATTTCTAGTATTGGATTCAACAGTACAGCCACGAGTAAAGGATGAGCAGCTGTCTACTAGAAAATTCTAGGTCTCCAGGGTTTCCGGGTTTCATGGGTACCCAGTCCATGGCCCAGTGTCTACGGTGAGAACATATTTTCCTGTATACTTCACCTCTTATGCATCTGTCTTTGAGACTGCAGGATGTTTGACCAGGTTAATTTTACTTTGATTTCAGCTGTAACGAAAGCCAGCAAATTACAGGCATTCCTTTTGAGATTATCAAGACTCTTTAGCTAATAGGTTAAATTTAGAAATTCTTTCAGGAATAATCAGGCTGGCCTGTAAATTCAATGTTCAAACTAGAAACCGACACTGGCTGAATATGTATTACCTACTAGATATTCAACAGTGAGAAAAGCTAACATCATTTATTATTTATATAACTTCTATCTTCAGACAATGATGTAAATTTTGAAATTAATAGAGAATATCAATATTGAAATATTTATGCAATGATAAAAATCACATAAATTATATTGTTTTTCAAAGTGCCTATAATGACTATGAAATACCAGGAGAATGTAAAAGACATTATACAAGGATAAAATATTAAAATATTATGATATAATCCTGACTGTGGATATTCCTCAGACAAGAATCTAGCACATTTTTATAAGGTAGAAAATTAGACCTCATTCCGAATGGGTTCTCCATATGATCTGGTTATTAAAATAATAATAATTATGCTTTATTACTCCTTCTAGTTATTACCTTGCCAAAGGTAATCATTATGTAAATTTCAGTCATCATAAATCAGCATTGCCTGATTTGGAATATTACAGAAATGGAAATATACAGTATTCACTCTCTGCATCTGGCTATCTTGGCTGTACATCGTAATTGCGAGATCATTTTGTTTGCATGGAGCTAGTGTTAGTCTTCCCGATTTTCCTGTGGAGTAGTTGATTACAGTTGATTCTCACTGTTGATTCTGTATTTAAAATGCAGCTACTGTCTTAAATTTATTTAGACCTGCAATACTCATCATGATTTTACAGTCACTCAAGGACATGCGCAAAGTGGTGAAAAGTGTATCACGTGATGTGCTCCCAGCTAAGGGTGAACAAGGTGCCTTCTTGTTTCAACCCTCATACCGTGAACAAGTGTCTTCTCATGGTATATTTTGTTGACAATTTTGCTGTTCAAAATGGCACCTGAGCCTTGGGTTGAAATGTTTGTGCAGGAAGGCTGTGGTGTCCTGATGGTAAGCTTCATTCAGGCATGAGTCAATACTGTTTAGTTCAATGTTAATTAATGTTAATTAATTAACTGTGCATATTAAAGTGTCTCTGAACAGAAACACTCATGAAACCAAGTTATTTATTGATCAGCTGATCAACTGATCAATACAGAACTCATAACACTCATGAAGCCAAGATATATACTGATGAGTTGAAAATCTTGTGACCAGAAGCTGATAAGAAGCTAACTGTACATTTTCTCTGGAAACAATGGTGCAGGATTCAGAAATTTAGTGTTTCTGGTGACTTCATAAACAACTACCACTAATGAGAGACTCAAATGTATTTAAATATATAAGATTTTATTTATACATTATACTTACAATATATATTATACAAAAAGTAAATAAATATATATACAAAAAGTATATAAAAAATAAAGTTTATTTTCCATACAAAGTAGAAATCCTTTCTAACAGTAGAAATGATAAATTCCAGAGGGAGCTACTACAAAGAAAAGAGAAAAGTTGATATTTAAGTCAAAATGAATGAGAATTTTCTACAATGTAATAAAGAATAATGTTATCATTATTGTTTATAATATTGTCATTATTCTTTAGTATACAATTTATGAAATAAAAGATACTCTCA